AGGTTGAAAGGATAATGATATAATCTCTATTCATTGAGTTTTATACACCTACACCTTTTAATGAAGCCAGTCTCTTTTTTGATGCTGTTGGTTCAGCTTGGCATACTCTGATAAAAACGTGCATACTATGTTGGCATGGTCTCATCTGACTGGTATAAATTGAATTCCATCTAGCGGTACCTATTAAAATTACTTTCAGTACATAAAGCCTTATGCATACATTAGGTTGCTGGCAGACGCAAACACACTTTCTTTCTTTCTTGTATTATTTTTATTTTTATTTATTTAACTGTAAGTGTTCAGCTACCAGTAAGAGTCTGGTCTCAGCTCAGTTTAACAGTTGTTCCCATGGTTAAAGTTAGGATTAATAGATAGAGTTCAAAAGAAAGAACAAAACATTACAAATAATTTTCATTGACCAAGGTGGAAAAAAAGGCACATTCTTGTGTTTGAAACTTCAAAACACATATTTGTATGAAAAAGTAATGTAACGTATAATGATAAGGCTCTAAAACTTTTGTCCCTTCACACATGCTGCTAAATGATAAATGACCTCATTAAGAAGAGAATGGATTTTGGGCTGGTGTTTTTTGCTCTGAACTACACCAGCAGGACTGACAGCAATATGCATCACACTGCTGTGGCAGCTATGCATCACACATTCTACACTAAACTGACACATTTAACTTCCATATGATGTATACACTACATATCTAATAATCCTAGTACGATGTACCTCTTAGCAAAGATAAGAAAAGTGGCATTACATAGAATGAAGCCAGGCGGTTGGAGTATAAAGATTAAAACAGTTAAGCCAGCAATAATAAAAGTTGTTTATTTTAGGGTAGATTGTACAAGGTTTGACCTTGTGAAAAAGAATTACACTTTAGCATACTTTCCAAAATAGTACTTAAGCCTACTTATTATAGAAATAATATATTTTAAAATAATAAATTTAAATGCAAACTGAATGTAATGTTTTCGGGCACTTATAATTAAGGGAAAATGTATTAGAAATGAAATTGTATGTCATGTATTTAAATATATTTGTAATTACACATTTGTAATGAGGAAGTTGCAAGTTAGTATGTAGAGAATAAATACATTTTAAATGTAATATCAAATGATACATTACACTTAAAATTATAATCAAGTACATGTGCATTCGTATGTTAGTCAGCACATCAAGGAGGTGTAATTCTTTAAAGCTGAACAAATGATCAGTAAAACATAGTCATTTAAAATCTACACTCACCGGCCACTTTATTAGATACACCTTGCTAGTACCTTTTGACTTCAGAACTGCCTTAATTCTGCGTGGCATAGATTCAACAAGGTGCTGGAAACATTCCTCAGAGATTTTGATCCATATTAACACGTAGTTGCTGCAGATTTGTCAGCTGCACATCCATGATGCAAATCTACCATTCCACCACATCCTAAAGGTGCTCTATTGGATTGAGTTTGAGTTTGAATCTAGTGACTTTGGAGGCCATTTGAATTCAGTGAACTCATGTCATGTTAACAAAAAAAATGTGTGTGTTTTATCCTGCTGGAAGTAGCCATCACAAGATGTGTTCATAAAAGTATGGACAATTTATTCACCCTCAAGCCATCCAAGATATAAATGAGTTTGTTTCTTCATCGGTACAGATTTGGAAACATTTAACATTACATTACTTATACTCACCAATGGATCCTCTGCAGTGAATGGGTGCCATTAGATATTCAGTGTCCAAACAGCTAATAAAAGTATCACATTGATCCACAAGTAATCCTCATGACTCCAATCCATTAACTAATGTCTTGTGTAAAGCTGCCTGTTTGCAGGAAACACTTTGCTTTAAGTACACTTAAGTGACCTTTTATTTAATTAATATTATACTATTTGCAAGTACATTTTTAAAATTACTTTTAAGATTTGAAGTACACTACAAATGCACAGTACAATTAAGCACAATTCTTTTTTCACATGGCTAGGATTGTGTTATTTTGCAGTGTACAAGCCCCTATGAGAAATACAGCAGACAGCAGACTTATTTACCATTTTAATGTATTAATAAGATGTAAAGATCAAGAGTTTATTTGTTACAATGGCATGACAAAGTATGCTTTCACTTTCAGTAACAACTGTATCTGTGAACAACTAGTGGACTGCTTTTTATTGTTCCTGAGAATGCACTGCATCTGTGATTTAGTCAAGAACAGTGGGAAACAGCTGGCACTCAGCTGAGCATGCTTTGGATAACTGTAATAAGTATATCACAATGCAACGTCCTCTTTTAAGTTTGCAATTTTCAGGTATGAATCCGTCAGCATATTGTAAAGATTATTACCAAGCATATGGAATCATTGTGCCATTAAGGAACATCTCAGCCTCAGTCTCAGTTTTGCAGTGAAAATAATCACCAACAAATATTATGCAATAGTCAGCGACAGCATAAGAATGATTACCTGTAAATATTAGTGCATAAGAAATGAATATGGAGTAAAAAAAGCAGATATTAGGCTCAGGACAACAGTGATGCAATATATATTTGTGTATTCTCTTTAAGAGTAAAAAAAAACAAAAAAAACTTTTGTGTTTACATAGTTATCATGAAAACAAAAGATATTACTGTCCAGTCATAAATGAACTCAGATCAATAGTTTGCTCACATTTGGGCATTAAATCAACCAAACTAATCTGGGTTTAGCTGAAGCAATCCAAGTACAGTATATTAAGAAGTTTAAATACAGTATTTGAACATATTTTAAAGGTATTTTGAGTTTTATTTTTAAGGTATTTTAAGTTTATATTCAGATTTGTACAAGCAGGCTACATGTTTGGGAGTGCAGGCTGGCACAACATTCACAATGCTTTATGGGAGTGAACTGCTGATTGCTCCTGCCTTTGCGCAGCTGACGCCCTGTCTGGATAACATCCCTTAGGTCTTTTACTTACCTGAAGTTCCCATGAAAGGGAACTGCTGATTGCTCCTGCCTTTGCGAAGATTTTTGCTTCAGTAACAGAGAGGTCGCTGATTGGTGGATCTCTATATAAAGTGACATATGTCTTTGTGCAGAGTGCACCAAAAGTGCACATATGAGATAGCACTGACCTGCACCTTTCTCACTTCAAGTGCTCTTCAGAGTCAGAAAGCCACTTTACAATAGAATTTAAGACTGGGATCTCTATAGATCTCTCAATTTAATGTTTTACAATATGCGCAAAAATAGCAAGCTATTGCAAATAATACAGAGATGCTGAATTTGCATGATAGATTTCTTGCTATGAAAATAAATGAGTTTTGCAGCTTTTTATCCATATTTTTATCCAGATCATCTACATGCTAGTACATATAATTATATATGATATTATATTATAATATTTATAAAAGTGGACAAAATGACCTCAATGTAATTGTTGTGACGAGTCAGAAGCGTGTGGATCCATTTGCAGCCTTTATTAGAATAGTCAGACAATACAAGGTCAAATACCAGCAAGGTAGAACAGCAGAGACAAGGCTGAGACAGAGTCGAGTACCAGGCGAGAGATCGGGGCAGGCGGCAAGCAATCAGAGTCCAGGGGAAACAATCCAAGTCGGGGCAGGCAGATAACAATCAGAGTAACGGGAAACAGTCCAATAACAGATGCACAGAAAATCAAACACGGGTATAACGCTCGGAAATGACAGCCAGGGCAAATCAAGACTTCGCAGAGAGTCTGTGTGTGTGAGTGGTTTATATGTGTGTGTGTATATGAGGTGCAGGTGTGGATGATTAATCAGTCCCAGGCATGAGGGGTGATGGGATTTGGAGTCCGAATGGGAATGTCTAATATTCGGGAGACGGTTCCCTCCGGTGGTGCGGAGGAGGCGGTAAGGGAGCCTCCTCTGTAACAGTAATGTAGTTAAAATCTTTAACAGACATAAAATAAATTTTCTCAACTGGGAAAATGAACCAAAAATAATAAACACACACACACACACACACACACACATATATATATATAATATATATATACAGTACCGCTGCTCCCTATACACGGAGTACACAGTTTGCGTAGGGCACCATCTCCCGGGGGGAGGCACCATCCTAGTTGCTTTAAAAAAACACGCTCCGCTCTCGCACCTCATGTCGCACCTCATGTTTGCGGCAAATTATCATAATTGATGGACAGCTATGCCCGTGAAAAGACATCAGCAATCCGGCTCCGAGAGGAAAAAAAAAAGTTAAAACGAAGCCCGTGCATCACTTTCAGGCACATTCATAAGCCTAAAAAAAACAATGAGGCAATAATGATTGGTTAATTAATAATTATATGGTTTCATTGAATAACACTGTTAAAATACATAATGTAATACAAAATAAACAATTTATGTACATTACATGTTATTACAAATGCCTGCAAAGGGAGCCAAAGGCCATGTAATTGCTGCTGCTACACTTACAGGACAATCAAATCCTTGTTTAATAGGCTATTGACCAAACATTTAATTCAAATATCCACTTAATCTTTAATTTTTGGCCACCTTTTTGCTATATATAGATGACACAGCCTCTATAATTTCTTCAACAAAATACATGTGGACATCACAACCCTTACAAAAATGAACCATGGTTGTATCGTAGTAAAACTGCTTAATTTTCTTTTGCATGATTTCTGAATGCTTGAGACAATAAAATCAGACAACTGTATTAATAAAATTATAGCCATAGGTAACTGTGTAGATTTGTAATTTGCAAATAATACAATTTATTTATTTATTTACTTAATATTTTATTAAAGTTCTATTTTGACCCCTATACTAGTTTTTTTTTTTTTTTTTTACTTCCATAATATTTGAGGGAGGGGGGCACAACAATACAATCCTGCTTAGGGCACCCATCTGACCAGCAGCGGCCCTGCATATATATATATATATATATATATATATAACTGCTGAGCAGAACTGTTACAATGTAAAATAATGTAATGACAGATGGAGGTCACTAACTTTCTGTTTTTGTGTCCTTAGGTCAGACTTGTGGCGGCTTGGTACAAGGTCTCAATGGGACTATAGAGAGTCCTGGCTTTCCCCACGGCTACCCCAACTATGCCAACTGTACGTGGATCATAGTCACTGGAGAGCGGAACAGGATACAGTTGTCATTTCACACCTTCGCTCTGGAGGAGGACTTTGACATTGTCTCCATCTATGATGGACAACCACAGCCAGGCAACCTGAAGATGAGGTGAGGCCTATGCTCCTTATTTCCTGATGCTATAGCTTTGAGATGCCTTTGTTTTGGCCTTATATACACGGTCACATGCATTTTTATGGCCTTTTGTTTCAGTTGTAAAAAGATATGCAGGTGTTTCACCATGTTTTCCATGAGTGAAGGCTCTATGAACCCTATGAACAGAAGACAGGAAGACAGGAAGTGCTTGATTATAATTTTTTTCTGACTGCATTTTATTGAAATATAACTTATCCAACACCATCCTATACAACAGTTGGTTGGTCTGTCAGATCCAGCTAAAGGAGAGACTCCCATTAAATTACAGCTACAAATGTATAACACAATCACAAATGTAGTTCTTAAAGAGTCAAAGGTCAATTTATGTTTCCTGAAGAAAGCTGTTAGAAGGACATATTGCGAAGAATTTTGGAGTTTGAAGTGTCTAATGGATTAAGAAATGATTAAGAGAGACAAAAACAAGTGCAGAGGCCCCGTTAAAATGGATGGAGATGAAGAATTATTTTAAAGCGGTCAAATGACGTTGCTAAAAATAACATTATTTTGTGTATTTGGTGTAATTCAATGTGTTTATGCGTTTTAAGGTTAAAAAAACACATTATTTTTCACATAATGTACATTATTGTTGCTCCTCTATGCCCCGCCTTTCTAAAACACGTCGATTTTTACAAAGCTCATCGTTCTAAAAAGCGAGGTGTACGCTGATTGGCCAGCTATCCGGTGCGTTGTGATTGGCTAAATACCTCAAGCATGTGACGGAAATGTTACGCCCCTTACCATACTGTGAAGCCGTGTCCCGGCGCGACGAGACAGAATCAGTAAAACCCCTTACAAACGAGGCATTTGTTGCATCCAGTCGGGACATAATTACTGATTATAATGACTTATACTGTCTTTTTACGCGTTGCGTTATGTATCGCGCCGCGTAAACATAAAACCATGTCTGCATTTGGGATCGGAGAAACGACAAACAACAAGCGCTACTCTACACTGCTCAAAACTTGCGTTTGAATCGTCAGTGGCAAATTCTTTAAATATAAAAAACATACTTACAGGCTGTGAGTCAGAAGCGCCAGACTGTCCTTGCAAAGTTGGAACTGCCCCACTTTATAGAAGCAGACTTTTTGCACAGACGCATTGTAGACTACTCTGCAGGTTCAGGAAACAGTCCTCCATAAAATGCGCTGCACACATCTGAATAGTTGGGTTGAACTGTTCTGGAACAGTGTTGTAAATACAACTTAACCACTGATTTCTAGTTCCTCTTTTGGAAGGCCAAACAAAGTAGTTTCGCTTTCACAACGAAACACACAGCATCACACACGGCGGGCTTGAGTGAGCGGAGGCCTGCAGACTTGAGTGAGGAACGGCCGGCAGGCTTGAGAACGGCGCAGCCGGCAGATTCGACGAAGGAGTGGCCGGCGGGCTTGTGGCAACCACATGTGACGACGTGGGGGCATGTTTAAACGAGGCGTTTTAGGACGGCGTGGACAAATCTTCTTTTATAAATAATTATTTTATAAAGAATATCTCTTTGGGTTTGAGATTTTAGTCTTTGCAACTTTAGGGATCTTATCTATGCACGAACAGCTTGTAACACTCCAAAGAGAAAGGAAAATTTGAAATTGCATCATATGACCCCTTTAAGTGTCAGTGGTTGATGCAAATATTTACGTAAAGATAGATGGACTTATGGACTAAGAAATGTGACCCAACCCATCCAAAAAGGTAAAACAATGATTGCAACGATTGTCTGCAGTCTGTATAGAAACACAGCAATGCAATGACTGATGTCACTTATGTAGCCCCTCAAGACACTGGATCACCAGCGTTTGTGGAGTATGGCAGGCTATGCACCCCTATTCAGGGAACCAGGGTTGCATACGTCAAGTCAAGTCACCTTTATTTATATAGCGCTTTTAACAATACAGATTGTGTCAAAGCAACTGAACAGCATTAATTAGGAAAATAGTGTCAATAATGCAAAATGACAATAGTATACCATAGTATAGACAATAGTAATACGTAACCAAGGTGTTCCCATTTATAGGTTCGCTCAACACTGTGTCAGTAATTGATGATATGGGACATCTATACCACAGCACCATGCTACAGGTGACTGCTATTTAGCTAGCTTGTGCTTCAACCCAGACTGACACAAAACATGAACCAACTACTGTTCAAACAGATAAAACCTGGGAACCTGGGGCCTCATTTATAAAATGTTGTGTAGAAACCATCCTACATTTGACCTAAGATCATTACTTAATTGTGCATGCGTGTGATTCAGAGAAAATACTCACAAAAAAGTGTATTCTCCTCTCTTTCAGATGTGAAATCTATAAATTGCAAATTAAATTGTGCGTAGCTAAATGGTTTCAGATCTCTGCCTTGTAAATGTTCCCTAATTAATGTCATTAGCATATAAAAGAGCACCAGTTAACATACAAATCCTTTACTTGAGAATGGCAAGCGGCAAGAAAAAAAAATATTTTAACAAGGCTGAAATTTGGGTCCTGTTGGTGGAGGTAGAGGTTTGTGCTTTTTGGGAGCCTCTCCAGTGGTCTCTCACACAAAACAAAGTTTGTGGACTGGAAATGTATAGTGCAGACTGTAAACAAGGTAGGGGGGCAGCAAAGGTCCCTGATAGAAAGGTCCCTAAATAATGCAACAGTCCATGGAGGAGTGAAGGGAGGTATGATGAAGATAGTATCCAGGCAGGAGACGATGGAATGAAGAGCCAGGGGGAGATGGTGGATGGAGGAGCCATGGAATAACCCCCAAAAGACCCACCAGGATGCAGGCCCACAGCAGAACCGAAGGAGATGGAGCAAGAGGGAAGGAGGGTCAAGGTTCAGCCACAGACCCAGAAAACTGCGGCGGAGTCCTGGGCTCAGAGTCTTGAGGCAGAGCAAGTGGATTGACATCCCAGGACAGAGCTTGAGACCTGGAAACCCAAGGTGTATCTGAGCAGTGTGGCAGTGTCACTGAAGATGGAGCTGAGGAGAGATCCAGCGGAGGTGGGGCTGAAAGACTGTATGAAGTCTGCAGAGGAGTAGGGAATAGCAGGCTGGACAGGAACAACTGGGACGAAGGAGACTCAGAGATGACCAGAACCAGTGGAGATGAGGGAAACTCAGGGCTGGGCAGAACCAGTGGAGACAAAAGAGACTCAGGGCTGGGCGGAACCAGCGGAGACGAAGGAAACAGGACTCCGGATGGGGTCAGCGGGGGTAAGAGTCTCTGGGAGCAGACATCTTTACATTATATAAATATCTCAAAGGATACCAAGCTCAGTCAACTTACTTCAGCGAAAAGAGGGTGGATGGGGCTCCATTCCATCCCTTCAAACGCCATGAGAATGCCCTCTAATATAGATGTTGGTGCCGTCTCTTGCACCTGGTCAGGCTCCCAGGTCAAAAAAGTCACTGGTGTGGTCCTCAAGGGACTGATCCCCCTGGGTGAGGAGGAGGAGACATACTGCTGGCAGATCCATTTCAATTATTGGTCCGTTGTTCTATCAGGCTTGCTTCTGCAAAGACAAGGAGAGATAGAGGATTGTATTTAGCAGCACTTTAATTCTTCCAAAAACAAAACAAAGTAGATATATCTCAACACATGAGCTCAGGAAACCAGGAACATAGGAGAAGCAAACCATTAATATAAAAACAAGAAAGGACAATCAAGGACTGAAACTTTTAACCCATCCAAGTGCACACACACCATGAGCACAGACCTGGAGCAGTGGACAGCCATATTGTTTCAGGGGTCCTTGCTCAAGGGTCTCACCTCAGTCGTGGTGTTGAAGGTGGAAGAGAGTCCACCTGGAGAGGTTATTCACTCCCCCCAGCGACAATTCCTGCCGGACCTGAGACTCGAACCCGCAACCTTCGGGTTACAAGTCTGACTCTCTAACCATTAGGCCACGACTGCCCTGGAAGTAAACATAAACGTGACACTGTCCTAGTCAGGGTAGGGTGCTATCTGCGGCCATCCTGTGATCACAAAAAGAGGTAAATCAGTTAGTTGTTGAGGTAATGGACTTTGGCAGGTGTGATTAACCTGACTCTGTCTGCTCTTGTTGATTGTATGAGAAAACTGTGAGTGTGACTTCTTTTTTGAATAGTCTTACCTGTTGGAAAAACTTGTGGATTGACGTCTTCTCACAAATGCAGTGACGTGCATTTGTTATATGTTCTGTAACCTTTAAATACAGGATTTGGGGAATTCATCTCGGAGTGTCAGAACAAACAATTCACCAGGCAGGAGTTCAGGGAGGGCAAAACTTAATTTCCTTTATTCTCAAAGTGAGGGAGAGTGAATAGGGTAAAAATGTAACTGTGAAGTATTACTTCCTTCTGAGACTAGCCCTTAGTGCAACAAATTCCTCAATCTGGAAGGAAGATCAGGCTACTCACGTCCTCACTAAGCATCTGCCCTCTAGAGCTTGTCTTTGTTAGATCTTGTCCAACGTCTGGGCTGTGGGACATCCAGCACTCTGCGTCTGCTCACCTCACTGGCTGTTCTCCTACTGAGGCCTCCTTGTTCTCTTTTATGCGGTTGAGGTTTATTGTGTCTAACAGCATGCAGCTGAGGCTCCCTGTTAGAGGGGAAAAGGTGCATACCTGTATTAGAGGAGCTATCCCTAGTCCTGTTCATTCTTACTGAATAACCCAGCTCCTGCCGTGGCCTCCTCTGATGGTGCTCTCCATGGTGCTAAAGATGTCTGTATGCTGCTATGTGTTTTTGTTATTTGGATTTTTCGGTTGTGATGTTTTCCTCTTTCTTGTGCCATATTTTTGTAGGCCCTTTGTAGCTTTCTGGTTGATTAGTTCCCTGATTTTGTCCAGGTGTGTCTTGTTAGCATATTAACTCCAGGGTATAAAAGCCATTGTGCTTCCTTTGTTCTTTGTTAGGTCTTGTTGTCCATGTCCATATATGGATGTCTTGTTGGTGTGCTCAGTTCTGTTCCTTCCATTTATTGGTTTCCTGGT